TTCATTGTTTCTTTTTTGTGATGACCACATTGCTAATATATGTGCTTTGCAGATATTTTTGATAAAGTGTCTAGTAGAGAGCTCAACATGATTTTGTTCCCATTGTAGAATATGAAAAAGATTGTAAATATTTGTATATTGAAAGATTAGAGGCAAGGAAAAATTATGTTGTTTTGCTAAGAAATTGGCTATATTATTAAAAGTATTGTTTGTATGAGTCTGAACTTTGTGAAAGTTGATGTTTAAGTTAAAAAATTTAATAATATTAATAAAAGTATGTCATAAAGACCATGCATTAAATTATTATCTAACTACTATTGCTTCTTTTTTCTATACACAGTAAGTATTATATCAATTATTAAAATTATATTATGGATTTTTCAAATATTATTAATCTTGATTAGAGTTATTAATAAAACTAAATTGTGCTGATAAAACTGATAACTATCTAAAGTCTGGTTAGCTATTTAATTTAATAACCAATCAGATTTTAGATAGTCATCAGTTTCACAGTACAATTTAGTTTCATCAACAACTCTGGTCTTGATCAAAACAACAAGAAAAATAATTACATACCTGATACTGTAACAAAAAGAATAAGATAAAGTAGTAAATATCTAAACTTGAAAAAAAAACTCAAAATACAACTATAAACAGAAATAGCGAGATAAATACATTAATCTCCACAGTATAACGGTGACAAATGGGAAGTTGAGAGTGTGACCACATAGGACGACTGATCAGTAATTCGCCCGGTTAAACCGAAATCACTGAAACAACCTAACTTCCCGAACTTATGTAGAAGTGAGTGGTACGACGAATAAAAAAAAAAATTGGTATATATATTATGTAGATCATGAATATACTTACCCCCTACTGTCAATTAGCCAGTTAGAAATCAGGATCACGTGTAACATAAATAAATTCAAATTTTTTAATAAATTTTATGTAAACTTATTATAAATTATTTTTAGAAAATATGTGTTTGTCACGAACATGTGATCGACCAATCAAATCGTGTAACATAAGAATCAAAACAACATTAGGGCCAGGATTAGAGACGCGATTAGGGTTTGGATAAGTTTTAGTATATTGTAAAATTGCACAAGGAATTTTTTTTGTTAGAACACAAAAGGTAATTTCATAGGCATAATTTTGAGTTATCGCGATTTTTTGAAAACTTGCAATTTTTCTTCGTTTCATGTTACACCAGATCTTGCAATCTGATTGGTACGGTACTGTCACCGCCGGTGACAAATAGATTCGCTCTTATTTTTAATTTACCTGTAAATTTAATTTTGCCAAAAAAAAAAACAATAAATCATTTACCACCACATGTGGCATCAAGACAATTCCTATATTTTATTTCAAAAAAAACATTATTTTGTATATAAATACAGTATATAGTTGGTATAATATGCAAATCAATAATTGTTTTGAAAAAAAATAAAATCTTTAATTAAAATTAACTTTTTTTTTTGTTAGAATACAAATAGTTTTTTAGATAAAATTTTCATCAAATGGCCGCTTTAAGTCTACATAGCACTTGCAATAATTTTATTTATTCTTTAGAGATCCCAAAACGCTGTTTTGTATAAATAAATTTATTGTTAAAGTAATAAAATTTTCAGCTTCCAAAAATACGTAACCCATCCAACCCAGCCTCTACGGTATGATCATTTGACTCTTTTCCATCACTTTCATCAGTATCCAATTCTTCATGCTTATTACCTAACAATGACGAATACAATTCATCAATCATGTCGTCATGCCACGTACCAGAGGGAATTGGGACCATAAAGTTCTGCAATTTCTCATGAACATGATATCTAATGAAAAAAATTAGCACAAATAAAAACGGTATATTTGTTTTAAAGCATATACACCAAATCTTACCTTACTCGTCTTCCTTTACTAGCTTTAGTATCTACATTCTTTTTCTTTTGTTTAGTCTGTTTTAATGTTGCCCAACGTAAACCTAACGCGACGGGATCGTCTAGACAAAGAAAAAGAAATTCAATAACATAATTTTACTAATATATTGCTCCTTTTATATGAGAAATAAACGTACCGTTATCTATCATACGACTTTCAATCAATTCACGCAACAATTGTTGATAAAAATCTGTATCATCAAATATTTCTAAGTCATAATTTGTTAAATGTTCATCATACGTCCCCGTGCCAGGTTCTTGCAATTTGTGAGACCCCTAAATGTAACCACCAAGTGAGTCCAAAAAAATAGGCAAGAAAAAATATGGCAAATAATATATATGAATAAACTTGCTTTTCCTAAAATTTTGTCTGTATTTCTCTTTAACTGTGTCCTTTTAATCAATCGTTCTCGATCACATAAAACATGTGCAATTTGATCATTAACACCTTGATTGATGGCCTTAAACTTTTTATTAAGTGGTATACCAGGTGCTATTTGAACTTTATTACTCCACTTTTCAATTGTTTGGGCCCGAAAAGGCAAAAATGAGTCATTAATCTCTTGCATGTCTTTCCATAGATACTCAAGGTAATTATCGTCTTCTATATGTCGCTTTCGATTATTTGCTACATTTTCAGTGATAGCAATATTATCATTCTCATGACATAAGCCCTAAACATTTCTATTTTAGATTGATGTTAACAAATTCAACACCTCATTACAAGAATTCATTTACCTTTCTTAAATCTATAAGAGAGTCAATAAGCTCTCTTAGTTCTGTTCGTGTTTCTTGAACAGAGAACCTGGTTTCAGGTGTAATGAACTGCGAATACACGTTAGGCTAGAGTGAAGACATTAATAAACAAAATAGAACTAGAACAAAAGCTTAAACAGTAAGAATAGGTAAAGTAAAGGAGCTACCTGTGGAAAAGTATTTGATATAGCCACCGCTCTCTGCAGACGAATACGTGTGTCTAAGAATACGTCCCAAAGCGCCTAGATGATAAATGATGTTATAATACTGATAATTGCGGCAGCAAGAGTATGAATGAATATGTACTTGTTAGACGACATACAATTTGATTTTTAACATGATGACCTTTATTTATATCTTCCTGAGCACTTTGCGTCATCTTTTGCAATAAATTCCTAGATGGATATCACGTTTAAATAGTGAACGTGAAAATAGGCACGAAATTTTTTTGAAAGGTTCTAATACCTTTCATCTTCTTCAATCTTTCTTAATTCTTCACGAACAGATGACGCATTATCCAATAAAACCGTAACTTTCTGGTCTGATTCGGATTTTTCATTGTCGCTTTCAGTATCAAAGGACTTTTCATCGTCGCTTTCAGTATCAAAGGACTTTTTATCGAAACTTATATAATTGTCCACAGCATCTGATTCATCTTCAGTATCAGAATTATACATGGATGTCTAAATTATTTTGCTCTTGACGTAATTCTAAACAACCGAAATTATTTTTGACCGTCTAAAACATAAATAATTTAGTCTGTCGAAATTATTTTAATATGCCGAAAATATTTTAGTACGCAGAAATTTATTTTCGAATGACAAATATATTTTTGGGTGGTGAAAATATTTTGTATGGTGAAATTGGCAAAAATATTTTTAACTACTTTTTTGCATATCCAAAGTTGAAGATATCAAGTATAATGGACGTTTGTCTTGATTGGATATTATTTGTGATCTGCGAAAGATGTTCTACGAACGTGATATTGTAATTGATCAATAAAAATGGTCCATTATATACTATGTTTTTTTTATTAAGGCCGCTTTATTAGTGTTTTTAGTTATATATTACATATAACTTGCACGAGGATGAGCGTACAACTAGCTTCACATGCAACTTTTGATTGTCTATTTAAGCAGTTCGTTTGAAGATTTTACACTAGTTGTTATACCTGCAATTTATTAGAAGATTCCTTATTTGAACTTTCTAGTTTCTATATTACACTTTCAACAATAATGTCTTGGTTTCTATACAATCTAATCTAACAAGATGTTTTCTTTTTTTTTTTTTACAAGATTAATGTTTATAATGATTAGTGTCTTTATTATGATTTTAATTATATACGTATTACATATAACTTGTAAAAAGATGAGTTATATATGTAATTTTTGGTTCCTTATTTAAGTGGCTTGCTTGCAAGTTCGATATTAGTTGTCATACTTGTAATCTATTAGAAGATTATTTATTTGAATTTTCTAATCTTTATATTGCATCAACTAGTATTTGGTTTTCATATATCTAAGTATTATTAATCCAAGGTTTAGCTTTTTTTTTGTATATCTATTAAGATATTATTTATTTCAGAACATATTACCTGATTGTAAAGCTTTAATGCTTCTTGTTAACTAACCTACCTATTTTATAGATCATTATTAGAATTATGTTCTTGTAAAGTTCATCTGAACTCTAGTACTAATTTTATAAACTATTTTTAGTACTTTAATATATCTTTGTTTTGTTTTCAGATTTTTAATTTAGACAACCTAATAGAATTGTAATCTGTTCTTAGTATATTAAATCTGATTTAAATTTTTTTTTTCAGTCTGAATTTTAGTGATCTGATTGGTAGTATCTTTATTTAAAAGTTTTTATTTACCTAATTTCTTTATATTAATATTTGTTTCCTAGGTCTAATTTTTACAATAATAACCAACAAAATATTTTTTTTTTGTATTTTATCAGATCATAATCTACTTTTAAAATATAAGAGTTAAGAATCTTTTTGTTAATTAATTTATTCATTCTATGAATTACTAACAAAATTATATTCTTGTTAAGTTTATTTAAATCTCAAAATTAATTTAATAATATATTTTTAGTACTTTAGTATATCTTTGCTTATTTTTAAACTTCTAATTTAAATAATCTAAAAGAATTATAATCTGTTTATAGTATATCAGGTCTAATTTAATATATTTTTTAGTAATCTAATTAGTAATACTTTTATCTAAAAGTTTTTACTTATTTAGTTTCTTTATATTAGTATTTATTTCTTAAGTTTTTTTTTTTAAACTTTGGTAACATTGTCAGTTAGTTTATTAGGTTTAATTTTTATAGTACAATTATAAGTATAGGATCATTTAATACTATATAGCTATTCTAAGTTATTCTAATTTAATTTTACTGATTTTACTTAGTTATCTATATGGCATCTAAGTTCATATTTGCTGTATGCAGTTTTCTTTAGCTATCACTTGCAGTCAGAATATACTATTAAATCATTATGCAGACAAGAATATCTTCACAACTTAATATAGTACTCTAATGTCAAGAATATTGTCTTCTGTAATTATATTCATGTGTTTTATTTACATGTTTTATCTGATTTTGTTTCTTCTGTTTTTTAATCTAACTATATCTAATAATATTTTGTTCTTTACATTTTTCACTTTTTTGTCACTATATTATTTCTAAATTGTTCTACTAAGATATGTTTGATCCTTATGCTCTTTTATCTTTAGTATGCCTATTATTGTTTTCTTTAAGGTTTTCTGACAATAGGTCAGGATCTGCAATGAACTTGTATCACAAGTCAGACCTGCTAATGTTATTAGTCTTTTTGACTAATCTGTATCTTAAGTCAGGTCTGTTGCTACTGTTTTTATAAATATCTTAGATCTTAATATCATATAGTAACTCAATATTGCATATTACTTTCAATATAATGCTTTCTTTTATAATAAGAAATAGAACTTATTATATTTACAATCAGGTCAATTCTGATTATATCTATAAAGTTTCTCTAGCCTTAGTAATACTATACTACTATATATTGCAAGCTTTCAACTTATTTAATAATATCTGCAAGACAATTCTAATTATGTCTAGAGAGTTACACTAATTGCAATAATGCTATACTACTTTGCAGATCTTATTTCACATTGGTTGGTTAATCCTAGTCTTGTTCATTATAGACTTCTATATAAGTATAACCAAAATCTAATTTGATGCCTTTTTTTTAAACAAAGAAGTTATATACCAATCTTCAAGATTTTTTTTTTATAGTCAGATTATTTGACTATGCCAAAGATGCTTTCAATTTTGTTAAGCTAATTCTTTATTATAGACTGTTTTCATATTTATTACTTCTCTCATTATTTCAGTTATAGTTATTCTCAAATTACTTTTCTAATTAAATCTTTTTTTAAATCCTAATTAGAACTTATTTACACAATTTGTTGATTACTTTTTTAAGCAAATACTCTACAAGTTAGGTACAAGATGTTAGTACTGCATATATTAGAAGATATAAGAATGTTGGTGCTATTCTAGCCTTAAAAACTTACATGTACAATCTTTTTATAACTGTAACCTTTTATAATGCCACTGTTTTACATAGTGTCTATACTTCATAATTGGGTCTTTTCTGAAAGTTCTTTTATTTCAAATTCATATTTGCACTAAGACTTTTTTTATAGAGTTTTGTATTTAATTAATGGCTCTAATAAGTTACTAAAACAAAATTGCTTTCAGTCTAACTTAAACTGTTAACCTTGTCTATGAAGAGTTTATAAGTTTACTATTAAGCTATAGAACCTAAATCCTTATTTCTTAAGTTTAGTTTTTCTATAATATTATTAAAAGTTTGTATTAATTTTTTTATTTAAATTTTTTTAAATAAGTTTTTGTTTTCTTAATTTTATAAATTTATATAATCATAAAAGCTTATTTTAAATTAGTATTACCTAGTATTAGTTTTTATTTTTTATTTTTATTTTTTTTAGTATTAAAATGAGACCTTGCTTAGTTTGTATTTTTTTTTAAAAAAAAAATATTAATGGTGAGAAGTTTGTATTTTTTATATAATCAAGATTATATAAATATATTATAACTTTTTTTAAAAAAAATAAATAGTTAATTACTTAGTTAAATTAACAATTTTATTAGTTAGTAATAACTTAAATATATATCTATAATTCATGAAAGTATAGCTAGCTATACATACAATTTTAGTTATTGTTAATTTAAAAGTTTTGCCTTAAGATAACCTGTTATCTGTTATATCTGACTCCTGTTTGTAGATATTTTATTTAAATTTTTTAACCTATCTTTAATTAGTATTGTAATATCTTTCTAAGTGCATTCTTTCTAAGTGTATATTTTTTTTAAATGCACATTATAATTTAGTTCTAAACTTAAGACTTAATGCTAAATATACATCTTTATGTTCTGTATATGTATAAGTTTTTATGATTTAACTTATATTTACACTTTTATAAATGCATATATATAATTTTTAGCTAATAAAATTAAAGATTGTATTTATTAGTCAAATTACAAGTACTATAAAATCTTTTTAAGTACATTTTTTTTAAGTGCATATTCTCTTTAAGTGTATACTAAAGCCTAGTTTCAAGCTTGAAATATAATGTTAAGTATATTTTCTAACCTTTGTACTTTATAAGATTATGCAGCTTGAACCTATATATGAATCTTTTATAAATGCATGCATATAACTAAAATAAACATTTTATCAATTAAAATAATAGATTTGTTAGATATTCTTAAAAGGTTAATAATAAATTAACACAAAAGATTATTGAGATTTTATTAATTGTAGTAATAAGATAGAAAAAAATATTAATTCTATAAATACATACTCTCTCTAAGTGCATACTATAGTCTGGTTTCAAGGCATATGCTTAGAAAGATTTTATTATATCTATATAACTCTAACTATTTTATTCTAAAGCAAATAACTTTGTATTGTCTTTTATTAAAAATTATTTAGATTTAACTTTATTTTTTTTTGTACTAATATTTAGACTATTGCATATTTCAGAGTTTGTTATTTGCTAGTTAGTTTCAGAGGGCTTTTTTGTTAATTTATTTACTTATTCTATAGTATATTTTTAGTACTTAATATATTTTTGTATCTGTATCTAGACTTCTAATTTAGATAGTTTAGTAAAACTATAACCTGTTCTTGATATATCAGATTAGCATGATATTCTTTTTTTTAGCTTGATTTTGACAACCTAATTAGTGATACTTCTTATCTAAAAGTTTTTGTCTATTCAGCTTTTTAATATTAATATCTGTTTTTTAGATTTAGCTTTTACAATAATACTATCAAAGATCTATATTATTTTTTTGTTTGGGTTTTTTAAATAAACTTAGTTTTTATAGATTTATATAATTACAAAGACTTAAGTTTGCACTACTTGATATTGGTTTGTATTTTTTGTATAACCAGTTATACAAATACTCTATAATCTGCTAATTATACTAATACAACTATAATTACAAATATCTTAATTTAATTATTAAAAACAGTTGTAATATAAATAAAAATTTAAATTTTTGCTGTTAGTAGATTTTGAACTTCCAATCTGCTATTTAAAAAAAGTAATAAATTGTCTATTTCACTAAGTTACCATGCTTCTATATTATAACT